TTTTTTTTTTTTTTTTTTGATTTTTCCTCCTGTGGTTTTTCTTTTTCTGGTTTTCTGGTGGTGAATTAAGGAGGTTCGGTCATTCGTCTTTTTATCGCAAATTTGGCATTTGTTTTCTCACCACTATGAGTTCGCATGTGTCTTTGCAAGTTTTGCTCCAGTTCGAAGCTCGAATTGCATTTGAACGGCTTTTCACCCGTATGAATTGTGTAATGCCTCCTTAGATCTCTCGATGTTCCGAACCTTTTATCGCACTGTTCGCAGGCGCATGACTTCTCACCAGTGTGAGTTCGTATGTGTGCTTGCAAGTCTGCTTTCTGGCCGAAGGTCGAATTACAGTGAGCGCATTTGAACGGCTTCTCACCAGTATGAGTGCGCATGTGTCTTCGCAGGTTTGTTTTCTGGCCGAAACTCGAATTACAGTGACCGCATTTGAATGGTTTCTCTCCAGTATGAATTCTGCAGTACTTCCGTAAATCCTCCAACCTTTCGAACCTCTTATTGCATTGCATGCAGTTGTATGGCTTCTCACCAGTGTGCGTCCTTGAGTGAATCTTCAGCCGTGACAGAAAAAATTTTACCGCAATAATTGCATATGTGCAAATGTCTACCAGTGCGAGTTCTGTTTAGGTTGTGACCAGCATATTCAGTACTTTTGTTTATAACAGCTGATGTCGCCCAGTACTCTTCCGGAAGTGGCCGGTGGCTATCAGTGCAATTGGCTGCATCGTCCTCTGTCCGATCTTCAACTCGATTGGGCTCGCAAGCTGCAAAATCATTAAGAATCAATCGCCTTTTTTATTAACGCCAAATAGTAACTCAGCGCCAAATAGTAACACATAATCGTCTTTTACTCGAGAAAAAGTTTCGCAGTTCAGCATATCTTTTAGCAAAAGGTTTTATCCAGAGCTAATTCATACTCTCCGTATTTCCCAATATACTTCTTTCGTAGTTTGAGGGCATGAGGCGATAGGAAATACCGCCGCTGTCGTATTGAAGGCCGAGATTTCGATTCCATCAGAGAGGCAATCAATCCCCTTACGATTCGCACGCTTGCTGTACGTTATTTGATGCTGGCGTACCGAGAAGTTAAATCTGCAAATAGCTTGCTTCTAAACAACCCTCAAAAGAGAGGAGTTGTCGACAGCCTTGAGGGAAACATTGACAGAAACGCTTCCAAGTGCTTCCGCCTTTCATAGAGAGTGCATAAGGAGGAATGTTTCTTTACTGTTATTATTGTCATTACTGCCATTGTTGCACATTATTATCATTTATCTTATTCCTTCCCTCCTTTGTTTTTTTTTTTTTGTCTTTAGATATTGTACACCTTTCCTTTAACCATTTATAAATCTTTCGGACAG